GTAGTCTTCGCACTTTTCATAGCCCCTAAAATATCTCCTTAAAAGCCGTTTTACATTTTCTTTTCATAAAAGGCACAAATCTTCTATTTTCGCTTAGAAAAGCACAAAAAGGGGCAGGAAGACTGTTTTAGCAGACATTAAAAAGACTACAACTACCATCATGCTTTGCTACACAGAATGGCGTCAACGCACATTGCCTATTACAGTGCCTTTCAAGGATTTAACACGAACCCTGATCATAATGACTTGTTGCTAGCTTGACACACATTCTCAAAGATAATTCTTTTGCTGTGAAAAACCTGATGTCAAGATTACCTCAATCATTCTCTCCAGTTGAAAAAACTTCAAATGCAGCAATTGGAACTCATTTCTGAAGATCTCTCTCAACCCATAGTCAGACATCATCTTGACAAGCACAGCAAAGGCTTGCTCTTCAGGCATCTACAAACAAACAGTAACAAGTTAAACTCTCTTTGTTGGTACATCCAAAAGCAAAAAAAAAAAAAAAAAAAAAAAAAAAAAAAAAGAAAGAAAAAAGAAAAGAAAAGGAAACCCTTTTAGCGATCTCTTTTACGCTGTGTTAGCCTCAAAACCAAGTACTAAATTCTTTTCATATAGAGCGGATTTCGTATGAGTGGGAAACGGACGGTACTGTACTGTGACCGTAATCGTACTGTAACCAAATTCTAGTGCCCCAATGGTTCACCAAAGTTGTGCAGGCCAGGTCCGGTAATTGTGCGGTAACCGTGCTGTAACGGTGTCCCACTCATACGAAATCCGCTCTATAATATAAGATAAACAGAATATTACATGGTCGCTTGGACATACGAATTTTATCTTCTCGTGTTGAAAATCTCTCACGAGTGAGCGTAGCRAATCTTTGCAATATTTTCAACACTCCAAGATAAAATCCATATCTCCACGCACCCATGTAATTTCCTCTATCTATTCACTAACAGCCCGTTCAAATGCATAGATATCGTTGACTATAAAACACAATGAAAATAGTTTGAAATTTGACGTGTTTTATTCAAATTTCTGAATATTTTGCACACAATTGAGGCTAACACAGCGGAAAAGAGATCGCGAAACTCAACTATTACAAAAGTGGTATAAAGTGTGATAAGACATAAGACAGCTCATAGCAAGATTCCACCTCTTTTTTATTGTTATATGATAATTGTCCCACTAACAAACTTACATGCAGAAGTAAAACAGCAGAGAAAAAGGAAATCCCTTGACAGTAACCAACTTCCTCATCATAAACAGAGTATGCCTAAGAGAACCATCCAAGAAATGGTAAAATTATTATTATTTATATATATTTAATTCATTTTTAGTGCATGAACTATGGCATAACCACAATCAATAGACCTAATCGGCTAACGCGTTGCTATAAACGTTTCCACCCAATTCAAACCACCCGGGAGTAAGTTTCATTGTTCGTTGTATTTTCATTTCATACATGTAGCTGAATTCTTAGAAACAAAAGTTCTTTTCCCAATAGGATTTGAATTGGGTGGTGACGTACATGGCATCGCGCTAGCCGTTTAGGTCTATTTTCCTCTTTTTCATAAAAACTACTGAATACTACTGGAGCACAACAGTTACGTCATTTGCTGTTTTTTTTTCCAATTTCCTAGAAAAATGACTGAGCAATAGAGTTTGGTAAATGTCACTTATTATGCAGGCCTGTAAATTCTAGCACGGTGCGCGCCAAAAATATGATCTGCGCTTGTCTTAATAACGGTTTTTATAAAAGTACACTGGAACACTGAACAAAATTACTATAAAATAAAATAAATAAAAATAAAACGACTTTATTTTACGAGGGTAACACGTGACAGTAAAGAACTGATGAACTTGTGTCCCTCACACTCACACTCACTACCTCTACATTAATTATTTTAGCACACAACACTCCTCACAAGTTGATTTTTACTGAGGGAGGAAAACCGGAGGACCCGGAGAAAAACCCTCGTGGCAAGGGAGAGAACAACACATTAAACAAACTCAAACTCACATATGGTCCGTGCCCAGGAATCGAACCCGGACCACAGCGGTGAGAAGCCACCCCTATGTATCTATGCCAGAGATAAGAAGTTAATCTCCACGACTAAAAGATAAAATGATTTGACAATCACCTTGCTTATCTTGTAAAGAGCTTCTTGTCCTGGTCCCCCGTTGTCTTTAAAGTAGTCGTGTGCAGGGTAGGTTCTCCTGATATCCCATACTATCACCTGCTCTGTGGGGGATTCCTGTAGATTATAGAAAACACTGTTATTTACTCTGATTATACATTAATATATTTATTAAACAGAGGATATTGCATGGGCGCGCGCACATTTTATCTTTGAGTGTTGAGAAGATCTCTCATTAGCGAGCGTAGCGAAATCGTATCTCCAAGCGACCATACAATATTATGTTTATCATATAATTACATATGAAAGCAAATTGTAGCATGTCTCTAAGCTCATTTGTGACAATCTTTTGTGAAAAGATTACATATACACTATTTAGAACGAACCCTTTTCAGTAAATGCTTGTAGCTGTCAAGCAGATCATCATCTTCCTGCAAACCAGACATCATCTGCCATACTTGACCTCGTAATGGCTCAGGGATTCCCTGAATGATAATGAAACAGCTTTTACGTCATGTACCATATATGTACATTGTCATTGTAAGACATGCATAAAATTATACTCTTACCTTTTTTACCAGAGAGTAAAGTTGGCGAGGCTTAACGGAGACATCTTTCCACTTTGAGAGCAGTTCAGACCAGCTGCAAAGCTCTTCTTCAGTACATTCCTTTTGTACCATTCCTGACCCTGACAGCAGTGGTTCATCATCATCTTCATCATCATCATCTGTGAAAAAAATTAGAATTAAGCAATCAAAATCAATTTGCCCAGGACTGATTTTCTTCATGCCCATGCTTGATTTAGCTTATACTTATCCACCAATCAATCCACTGATCAGTTGATCGTTCCACCAATCAATTGTTCATTCCAACAATCCGCCAATCAATCAAGCAATCCGCCAATCAATCAAGCAATCCGCCAATCAATCAAGCAATCCGCCAATCAATCAAGCAATGCATCAATCAATCAATCAATCAAATCACCAATCAAGCAATCAACCAATCCATCAATAAATCAATGCATCAACAAACCAATCAATCAATCCACCAATCAATCAATCAATCCACCAATCAATCAATAAAACTAATTCACCTTCAAGGTTCTTGTCTGTAGGTGATTGATTGAATGGAATTCGTTGCTCTACAAGCTGTCCTCTTGCTATCATCTCATTCTCACTAATAATACTCTTCACTTCATAACCCTTTTCTCCAGTATCCTCATTGACAGCCTGCAAACAACAGGAATTAATGCATAATACCTTAACTTAAGCGGCATTTACACGAGCAATTTTTCCTTGACAAGGAAAAGCCAACATGTTCGCTTTTCCTTGACAAGGAAAAATTGTCAAGGACGAAATTTGCTCGTGTAAATGGACAACAAGGGAAATGTGGCAAGGAAAAATTGTCAAGGACGAAATTTGCTCGTGTAAATGGACAACAAGGAAAATGTGGCAAGGAAGAATTGTTAAGGAAAACTTGTTGACCATCCACACGGGCAATTTTTCCTTGTCAAGGAAAACTTGTTCTTCATTTACATGCGCAAAGACGGAAACATTGTCAAGGAGGAATTGTCGAGGAAAACTTGTTGACCATTTACACGGGCAATTTTTCCTTGTCAAGAAACATAATTATGGATCCTTACAGTCATGCTATAGCTGATTATGTACAGACCGCATGTAAGAGTTGTACCTTATCAAATTCATTTTAATAATTCATAAGGTAAACACAAACACAAAAAAATCATTGACATGACCGCATCTTTATACGACTTTTAGTGTTCTGACCAGAATTGTCTTTCAGGGGGTCAAAGGGCCCATCAGTTCAATAATTAGGGGTCATTCAATATGTTAGAGAAGCCATACTTGAGTCTTTAAGGACCAATGTCAGTTAACACACAGATTAGTGTCAGATCTCTTCAGCAAGTGAAATCAGATGGCGGCCATGTTCGCGTTTGCGTTATTTTTTTTGTGGCTTTTGTGTGTACATTCACCATGTTTATTGACAATATAATTAGACTTTTGTTACTTTAAAAAGTACTCTATGTCTTTGTAATCAATCAGTAAGTATTTCTTGATAATTATTGCACCATTAAAGGTGCATTAAGTTCAAATTTATGGGCAATTTAATGTCGCGGCCTTGTAAGAACACTGGACTTTAACTTTGATTATTTCTCTTAAAACTTTTCTCTTAAAAATTTTATCTTGATGCTTTTAGCTTATTAGACATTTTCAGTCTTACAAAATCTACAGTACAATTTAAATTGTAGAATKTTCAGTGAACAAAATGGCATGGACAAGATCATGCCCTTTCTTGGTGTGCACCCATACCTCTTTTTTCARCTCCATCACATACACATCGTGAATTCTTGGTTTGTTGATGTTCCAAAACCTGTCGTTTTGTGGGAAGATTCTGGCCTTGGTTTCATAGATAAAGCGTACTGGTTCTGTCACCTTAGCRACCACCAGGTCAATGGCTACAGTCATGAACACCCTTGTATCTGATGGATGAAGTAAGTCATATTTTAGAGAAGTAAAAAGTCCTGATGATGCTAGAGTCTACTGTTAAAGATTATTTACCATCACACAGCAGTATTTGTTAGCATCTGCTGCATAATTACTTCTCAAGTAATATGCTGCTACTGATGAAGCATAACTTCTCAAAATTAGTCATTTTTTATTTCTGTTGGAAATTTCTCTTTTTTTTTACAAAAGCAACTTTGATTTAGCAGCAATGAATTTCATTTTATGACTTATTTGTCTACTACTCATGAATCAAGATTGTGATGGTTTTAAGTATGGTTTTAAGCCAAGGATAAAAATCCTACGGCTAATCATAGGACATTTTGTAGGCCAATCTTACAGCTTTTTTAAGTCAAAGTCATGCTGTGTAAATCAGCCATAATGACAGTTTAAGAAACTGAAATACCACAATATAAACAATTGCTAATTTACAAATTTTGCCACGAGGCTCCGTGCATAAAAAATATTTGGCATATATTGAATCAGATCACTAAAACATCCATAAAAAGCAGTTTTGATTAGTAAAAATGACAACCAAAMTCAGAAGTATCACATTTTTCATTGCATTAGTAGTTTCAATTGTCTTTTCACGAATGATTGAGCTTTATGCAAGGCACCTGAGGCAAAATTCACAAGTCGGCTATTGCACAGTGATTCTGACTGGACATTGCACTATGAGTGGCGAAGACTATCATCATAGTGTTCCATGTTTAACTTAATGAAAATAATATAATTAGATCACCTTTGGGTGTTTCTGTATTCAATACAAGCAAATCTTGAGCTGTAGGATTCCAATATCCACTGATACAATACACTCGTCCACCTTCTTGGATTTCAGTAGTGACCTGTGTCATGAAAGAATCAAGTACAGTGAGAGATGTTTGACTTTTTTAGTGTACTTGAGTGCCTAGAAACAAATCTAAAGATCCAAATATAAATCAAATTAGAGCGGATTTCGTATGAGTGGGACACCGTTACCGCACCGTTAACGCTACTGTACCGATGTCTAAGTTTGGCCAATCAGAAAAGAGAAATGCTTCTAAGCACCAATCAGAAATCAGACTTACTGACGGTAATACCGCACTTACGGTTACCGACCGTAATACC